TAACAGTGTACTGGCACGGCGTTAAAGCCTGCTGTGGTCAACATTTCTGGAAGGATGGTCATGTGAACTCTAAGAGACATTAAGTCCATAAATTGCAGCATGAGATGCATGTTCCATCTGTGAATCGGTCAATTTGTTAATGTAGTCAGCATCGTGTTAATGTATAGTTGTTGTTTTTTTGTGAGAATCAGAAGCAGTGCCCTTTCAACCCCCTGTGCTCTACCTTTCCTTTTAAACTTTCCCTTTAACCCTCAAAGCTCGTCACCTTGTCCTTCTCTGCTCGTGTGCTGTTTGTTATTACGTCCCTCTTCTTTGTTCGATATGCACAGTGCATGTTTGTGCATGGTACCTGTCTTGTTCCAGCATGTGTGGCATTGCATGTCTATCCAAAGTCTATCCAACTTCTCTGCCTCTTCTCCTCTCTCTTGTCTTCTCTCATCCATGTGGCCAGGCCCTAGAGAGGCAGAAAGAGTACTTTGATTGCATTAGGAATGAAAGAGATGAGCTCAGAGATGAGCTCGCTGACATCAAGGGGAAATCCAAAGCAGGAGAGGTAGGTCAACCGAATGACAAAAAAAATAAAGGTTACAGGAAAGAGCTGCTGGCCAAAAGATTTTTGTTGTGGTTGTTTTTGTTCTTCTTGGAACTAAGCCTGCTGTTTTGTTGTTATACTTTTTACTTCCACCGCTTTGTTTTTCTTTCCGCTTTCTTTGCTGTTTCACTTATTTTAATTAGTTGTTTTTTTGTTTTTTCCCCTGCTTCCTACTTGTGCATAACTTTTGGTAACTGCTGAATTTGTTCTTGACCCTGACTACATTTCATTAAATAAAATTCCTAATGTATGCAAACATTATCACTGTAGTACTTGGATCTCAACATGGTAACTAAAAAACAAACAACAGTCAATAACAGCAATGTGAGTTCAGATGATGAGAATGCACACTGCTAGGACGTGTTGTTGTAACAGTTCAATAGATTTAACTAGAGTCATGTTTCTTTACCCACTGCCAGATGGGGTGACGTTATCTGATATCAAATTTTGCAATAATATTAAAGTGTTTTGCAAAACCTGTCAGAACACAAGCAGAACATTGTTTGAAGCCATCATTATTCTCATCAAGCAGTTGTTGTTTCAGTCCAGTTTGTGCTTTCAGGCTTGGATTAGTGCAGCCTGTGCAGTGTCAGGGTGTAAAACATTGGAATGAGTGTCTCGATCCACACGTTTAAACCTCTAAAATCATTAACTGTTACATCCTGGAACCACAGCACTCACTGTGCGGGATGGTATCCTATAAAAAAAGTATAATAGAACAAGGCTTCAGCTAGCTTTTTTTCCCTTAACTACAGAAACATGGGCTGGTCATCATCCCAGATGGTACACCAAACGGAGATGTCAACCACGAGTCTCCGTCCTCAGGGATCACTTTGGTCTCCCAGGAGGCCGCCCAGGTGCTGGAGTCTGCAGGAGAGGGTCCACTGGGTGAGTTGGACCACCTGTTGCCTATATAGTGGGAATGTTTACAGCAAGTTAGGCATTTCATCCTTGGAAAAGACTAAAGTTCTCAGCTTGATTAAATGTACTCTTCTTGTGTTTTGTAGATGTCAGGCTACGGAAGTTGGCAGAGGAGAAGGACGAACTTTTGGCTCAGATTAGGAAACTGAAGAATCAGCTCGAGGAGGAGAAACAGAAACACTCAAAGGTGGACAGTTCGTACACAGATGGGGAGAGGATGGAAAACGGTACAGACCTGCACCTTATTGAAATGCAGAGTAAGTTGACCTCGCTACCCGACTTACACGACAGCTAAACCGCAACCACCCCTTTTTCTTTTAACGTTGAAACTCTGCTCTCTGTAGGAGATGCCAACAGACAGATTAGTGAATACAAATTCAAGCTTTCAAAAGCAGAACAGGAAATGGGTACAATGGAACAAAATGTAAGTGAAATGTTTTGCAGAAACCTCAGTAAAAAAGTTGGTATTGTGGCTAAAATGGGAAACTAATCCGTTCCGGGTTTTGTTTTTGTTTTTTTTCTCCCCCAGATTAACAGACTTGAAGGGCAAGTCTCCCGGTACAAGGCAGCGGCAGATAACGCAGAGAAAATCGAGGACGAACTTAAAGCAGAAAAACGTAAAATTCAAAGAGAGGTAACAACACCTAAATCAGATTTAGCCCAGAGCACAAACCTGATGTGGCAGAATGTTGACTGTGTTATCTCCCTCTGCTCCCCCACAGCTGCGCACAGCTTTAGATAAGGTAGAGGAGATGGAGATGACCAACAACCACCTAGTAAAGCGCCTTGAGAAAATGAAGGCCAACAGGAATGCCCTTCTGTCACAGCAATGAGGCAAGGCAGCGTCACCACAGAAGCCCTTAAATCCGCACCTCAGACCTCTGACTGCCATATTGCGACTGGAGCACATTTCCATTTTCAGCTGTAACACTTTGAGATTTGTAGCTAACCAAAAACACTTAAAACCTGTAGCACAGGCAAACGAACTGAACTGTTTTCTTTGTTTTTCTGAATCAAGAGACATTGGTTTTGTGTGGGAATGAACTCAGAAATACGACTAATAAAACTACACGAGTTGCTGGGAGATACATCCGAGGACATTTCTCTACTCACTACTTAAAATTTCAGAGCTTTATACTACATCGTGTTATCCATGAGATTTATTTCCCTCTGACTGGGTGCTTGACTGTACTTTTTTGTTTTTTGATGTGCTTTTTTTTTTTTGTTTTTTGTTTTTTGTTCCATAAGTTGCATGAATGAGTATAATGATGCTTTTTAAACAATTCAACCCTGATGGCTGCTCCAGCCCCGCATCTTCCTGACTTCCTCTCACACAGTGAAGTGCCTTTTCACACCAGGAGATTGGGGGTCTGCACCGCTTAATAAAACAATAATTGTTTTAACAGGTACATGTATTTAAAAAGGAATAAAAAAATAAAAAATAAAGGTGCAGTTATTATTTGAATATATATATATATATAAAACCAACTGTGTCTGTTGCGGTTTCTTTGAAATTTTTCAAATATTTAAAAGATTTCTTGAAAATAAATGTGTCATTTACAGAAGTGTGGATTCCATTTTATTTTATTTTTTTATGTAGGACAATCGACCTACATTATTTCTGCATAGATCTTAAGGCACTTTAAATGTTAGGTACAATAGTTCTACTGGGAACTGTTGTACTACTGGGGATCTACTGGGATCTTCCCACACAACCATCATAGGGTTTACAGAGGGGGGTCCAAATCTCTGGGTGAAAATCCCTTGCTGATGCCAGTGGTCAGAGAACTGTCAGACGGCTTAAAGCTGCTAGGACAATAACAATAACCCAACCACTCGTCACAACCAAGTTGTGCAGAAGAGCATTTTCTTCTGCAACAATATGTTGAACCTTAAAGCAGATGGGTTACAGCAGCAGAAGACCACACTGGATGCCACTCATTTCACCTAAGAACAGGAAACTGAGACTAAAAAGAAAAATGCCCCCTGGGCTGATTTCTGCTGCAGGATCATTGTGTGATGCTGTCACATCAGCATGTATCGAAAACTCTGCTGAATGTTTCCAGCACTTTTGAATCTGTGCCATGGAGAATTAATACAGTGCTGAAGGCAAAGGGGTGTCTAGCAAGGTGCACCTACTTAAGTTCTGTCTCTTGAACCTAAACTAAAAGCTGGTTTGACAGGAGAGGGGTCTGATGGCTGATGATGTGCCACTTTTGGATACTCTTAGAACAAGAAGTAAGCTGTCACTCTGAGACTGAGGCTCCGTTGAGATCATTTCTCATTCATGTGAGAAGAAATGAAATTAATTTAACAGGGAGCCAGTGATGAGAAACTAAGCTGTTCTTATTAACCAAGAGGTCTTCATTTGATTCTAATACTGAAGAGAAGAGCCCAAAATGTTATCAGGGGCCAAACGAGGACAAGGCTGGTTTAACCACATACACCGGATACTCTGTCAATGTTCAACCCAACCATTATAGCGCCATCTTATGGTCAAATTGCTGGCATCCTGAAAGATTATTTCAAACCAGGAGGATTTTAAAAACCTCAAATGAAGCCCATCATTATGGCCCTTTAGTGATTCTTTTATGAGCTAAAAATACTTCAATGGCCAAGCTGAAGATTCATGCTAACATCTGGTGTCCTGTCATTCCCACTGCCCTGAAAGTGAAGGCTACAAAAAAGCCACAGAACAAAACTGCAAATTTTGTGGACCTTTTTTATTAAATATTATCTGCTTTTCTTGTGTTGTTTCCAGTCAAACTTTCTTTCCCATGTATGTCTTTTAACACGTTAATCCCACTGCTAAGCAATACTTGAAAGGGGCTGTCAGAGTTCTTCACTTCAGGTTGTATTACTGTGATGTGCGAGTAAAGAATTGAAGCTGATTTTGGAATCTTAAAAAGTGGAGCACATCTTTTAGATTTCTGCTTCTCTATGCATAGAGCGAGGGAAGCCTACACCAATTTCCACTTTTGAAACTCTGAAATCAAAAGATGTATGAATTTAATTTGTCCCCGTTTGGAATCACTAGAATAACTCGGGTTCGCTTTCTTCTTTAAAAACGAAACAGAGTAAATCAGGTAAGTACAGTTCACTCTCTTTTCTGGTCTTCTGCAGGTGTTAAACTAGTTACTGTCCCTCAGGTGTTGATGGAAACACTGGCAGAGCTGCTTTAACCTCCTTCACACAGAGTGCTGACACAGCTTCGACTGACAGGTGGAATGGAGAAGTAATAAAAGTCGAGCTCATTTGCTGGCACGTTTTCGGGTTTCGTTATGGGACTTGTGACCCACTTCTATTTTCCTGGCTTCATGCCTGAAGTCTTAGTGTTAGGAAACCATGTGGAGCCTTGGCACTTTTCAGTAAGCCGTTCAGAAAGGGTTTCCTGCAACAGAGACCCTTTTATAACAGAATTTTTACTCATAAAGACAGAAATGTGAAGTCTTGTTTTCTATAAAGTATTTATTTACAGTATGTGTTATTTAAGAAAAAAAAGAAAAAGAGCTTATATAGTTGATTTTTTTCAGCCATGATGAGCAGTTTCAGCACCTCTCAAACACTTTGTAGAGATCGGGTAAGTTGGCGATCTGCAGCACAGTGCCATCCTCGCTGAAGCTCTTCGGAGGACTGAAGAGGGTTCGGAAAGCTTTAAAGATGAGGTGTTCGACTTTCCACCGCCAAGAGTTCACCTCAGTGCCCTGAAACGTCACGAGCGTTACACCTCACACGAGACAAAACAAGGTCCATAACTGGCTGGACAATTTCTGCAAAGTTCAGTATTCACACCTGCTCCTCTCCTGGCTCGGCCTCCAGGATGTACTGCTTCCTGATGGAGTAGAACATGCTGCACTCTTTGCTGAAGTCTCTGAAACAGTCCTTTTCACCGTCCCAGTTCACCTGCACGACATCGCCGCACAAAGGTCTTCAGTTTGTGTTTCCAGAATTGTAGCTTAAATGGAGAGGCTATGATCTAGCTTACCTCAGTTGCCAGGCGCAGGATGAACATAGGGAGACCCTCCATGACTGGGGTGTAGTTGTCGAGGAGCAGCGGGAGTCCTAGTAGGTTTCCTTCCTGTTGTGGATGTGTTTTGGGTTTGGTTTCTTTTTTGGTTATAACATGAGTTCGAACAATGTTGAAATGCAAGCAGAAATTATCTAAAGAGAATATTTCTGACCTGGTCTATCTCCATGGAGAAATAGTCCTCTAGCATCTCCGCTTTCTTTTTCAGGAAGTCCACTATGTACTGAGCCAGGCCTTCTTTGGGACCGTCCTCTTCAGTCCAGCCGCTCTCCTCTGACTCCAAAGCCAACATGGCCAAGTCATAAAGAGGTGCTGGGGTCTGAAAACACATTATCCATCATTAGGATCCACACAGTGTTTTCTAATCACTGACGTTGTACACTTTACTTACAGACAGTCTGAGTACACCGAAATTTCCAAAGTCATAAATGAGTATTTGGTAGAAAAGCTCCTGGCTGCAAGAGAAACACATTATGAGACATAAAGCAGCAGCACCAGCTTGAAAGAGCAGAGCTGAACAGAGTTTTTTCACGGTTCTCACCTGAGTTTGTTGGTGTTGAGCAGGTAGAGCTTAGTATGATGTTGCACCAGAGACCACTGGGGATTGACGCAGCCCACAAACGAGTGGTTCTGCATCATTTCTTGAAGGCCTGGAGAGAACGTGCATGAATAAAACATGTTTGGCTTTGTTTTGTTATATAAATCACAAAAACCGCTCTTAAAGTTCATCAATAAAGGGTTTATTTGAGACATGCTGAGAGGTCGAATGAATCATTACGAGAGCATGATGTAGCAGCAGAAGAAGTTGCGTAAAGCTGGTTATGAAAAACAACCTGGGCCCCGGAGCAGGAAGTCAAATCAGTGGAACATTTTTAGAGAGTCAAAGAGGTTCTTATGTTAGACTGCTCAGTTTAGCCGGGATGGAGATTCCCCAGATCTGATTTGGCGCTAGTGCTCAGAGGTACAGGGCAGGTTTTGTGACGCCACACCTTTATGTGTGTTCTCTGTGATCTCAGCTCTCAGCTCTTTGATGCTGTTCAGTTTGATCACTCGTCTCTTGGGCGTGGCTGCGGCCGTCAAGTCCTCGCCTTCTTCCTGCTGCTGCTCTTTCTGCTCTGTCCTCGGTCGCTTCCTGTCTCACAATAACGCACACAGACCCAATCACACCCGGTTACATTAAAAATGCTGTGGGACTTAACAGGATGTGCCAGTGATCATACATGTTAACACACATTTAGTTGCAGATATTTGTTGTCTTAAAAATATAAAGTCTACATGTACTCCAAGCTTGGACTGGATGACTTTCTTTGTTGGCCACTTGGGGGCAGAAGAAACCAACAGTATTCATCTGGAGTCATGTTTCTGCTAAGCTAACGCCAATATTTATCTTTCTTTATCTACTTCTACAACAAGGAGGAATATGTGGCTCTGAAGCTGCCAGATGTTTGACTTTTCTTGTCTGATTTGTCACAGCTGTTTTGTGCTGCGTAGTTGGCTCACTTTAAATTTTGCCTGAAACTCTTTAATCACCCCTTTACAGCTCAGGAATCTATCTATGAAGGATCTTCAGTGTTCATGTTTTAACAACTGTCTCGCCAAAACTCTTAACAACCTGTTATTCAGTCTCACCCCTAGATGTCAGTACGTTACAGTCAGCTGAATTCTGTTTTCTTACTCCTCCGTATTCAAGTGAATAATGCAATAATGCCAGCTACAGTTGCTGCTGTAGGACAAACATCTCTGGCCGTTCATCTGTAGTGAGTGTGACTCCACCGTTTACCTCACCCGTCAATATGTGTCCACGTCTATTTACTCTGGCGGAGGCTGTAAAACTTTGTGAAAGGAGTCTGATACCACTTGGTGAGTCAGTGAAAATCACTCCTGTGTAATCACAGCGATAATGAGCCGAGTTTTTGAGGATATCCTGAACCTTTCTGTTGATAAGCGCTGCTGTTTTTTCAGCTGTTAGCTGTTGTTAGCTGGCGCTGAAAGTGAAACTTTCTTTAAAGTGGATCTAAAATCACTCTCACAGGTAGTGAATAAACTCTTATACAATCTGAGTTTAACCAAATAGTTTATCAGAGGGAAAGTGTGATTCTTAGGATACTCGAGCCTGGTGGTATACTATTACCTCATGTATGTGTGGCCAATCTTTAGCCACATACATAAACACATGTCCATCTCAGCCACTGTATTCAATATGACTGGGCAACATGGCAGCTTTCACAAACCATCGCCTGCTCCTATGTATTTAATTCTATTTCTATATTAATTCTAATTTAATGAGAAAGCAACACTTTGTTGGAAGATGTATTGATACACTCCTCAATGCATATTTAAGAGCACAGCGTTCTTTTTTTCAGTTAAATAACCTTAAAAAATGACATGCTGTAACTTTAAATGCCAGTGTTAGTTAAACACAACACTGCTTTTGTTACTGATTGGCCCTAAGGCTGATGTCTCATCAGTGAGGGCTGATCCATGTTTACTTTTACATTCTTCTTTCTGCTCTCTTACACAACTCATTTGTTGCGGGTCAATGTTCAGATTTGCTCACAGTGCAGGATCAATCGTACATTAGACTTGTCCTGATCTAACTTGCAGAAATTCTGACAGGATTACACTCAAAGTTACTCCCTGACTGAGTCTTTAATCCCTGCTGACTCACACAATCTAATGCTGCTACTGCTACTGCACATATGTCATTCACCTCTGATTATCAAGAGCACCGACGCTGCCTTGTTCCTCGCCCTTTGGCACCTCTGCTTCCTGTTCAGCCAGCGCCTCCAGCATGTCTGAGTCATCTACATCGTCTATCTCTATGCTGTCCGCCTGGATGGCTTTGATCGCAGTCTGCCCACTGCTGGGACCAGCAGGCTTGGGATCAGGGAGCGGCTTTTCTTTCGGTTGGAGGAAGGCATCTAGCTTCTGTGTGCGACAGTCGGTCCTCACCATCTGATGTGCGTAGACTCGCTCGCTAGACTCCGATGTGGTGCTGGAGGCCTTAACCTCAGTGTTACCTGAGACTGACAGTCCCGGCAACAACGTCTACACAAAGACAGAGATGGGCACAGACTGTAAATGACCTGGTGGTAACTTCCCCTGCTGAAAGATGAAGCCAGGGCAAAAGCCTTTCATACAAATGTTGTCACTTGTGGTTGCAAAAAAACAAAGATGGAGACAGGAACGCTAAATTTGAGCTTTAAGATAAATGCAGGAAATTAAAGCGATTGTATCCATCTTTTATCTACAGTCTGCAGTAAACACGTGGCGGTGCACAATACGTCAGATAATGTGGACGTGAAACAGTAGGGGCACAGTAAGAAAGAGACCTTGTCACTTCATACCTGAGTGAAATATGTACGTGAGGAGTTGGAGCCCAGGAGTTTGCTCTCGATGTGCTTCTGAACGCTCTCGATGACACTGTCCTCATGCAGGAAGTGCACTTCATGTTTAGTGGGATGAACATTAACATCCACATTCTGAGGAGCGATTTCTAAGCTGTGAAAGTTAGAAAGCAACAGAGATTCAAGGTAGTAACTCAAGAAACAGTGTTAGAAGAGTCCTAAATGTGATTCAGATATGTCAATAACAAGCAACAGATGGTCTTTCTTGATGCAGAGAAGCCCTTTGACCAAGCTGAACAATTTGGTTTAGGTCATAATTTCATTAACTCCTTTAAGGTTCTTTTTAATGGCCCTATGGCAACCGTTACAGCTAATGTGGTTAGGTCTAAAAACTCTTAAGAGAGGAAGCCAACAGGGCTGTCGCCACTATTATTCAGTCTGGCTATAAAGTCGTTAACTGATACAAAAAGATGTGACCCTGCAGTCTGCAGGATTGTAATCGGTCAGGATCTTCATAAGATTACTTTATATGCTGATGATGTTTTATTATTCTTGTCTAACCCTACAAAAAATCAGTAAATTGTCTAATAGAAGTGAAACATTTATTTAGCACCTTATCTGGTATAAAAATGTATTTCTCCAAATCTGAGGCTATGTCAGCAACAGACACCCAAATCTTTTACTTCCTCCCCTTTATAAATGGTCTTTGATGGGTTTCGTCTGCTTGGGTATATTTCCAACATCCCAGTTTGATCAGATGTTTAAAGCTTATTTATTCAATAAGATTAAGCAAGATCTTGAACTTTACAACTCACTCCCTATGTCCTGGTTACACGGGGTCTCACTCTATCAAGCGAGGATGATTCAAATAGAAAAGAAATTAAAAAATATAAATGAAAGTTTCATCTGGTCCAAAAGATGGGCACTCATAAAGAAGTCAACTTTGCAGCTTCATACAATTTAGAAAATATCAATTGAGATGTCTTCTTCAATTTAGCTTTATATTGAATCTTCAGCGTCTAAGCATCCTCTTTCAAACCTAATTGTTATGAAGAATATGAAAACTGTAAAAGATTGGTGTAGGAACCCAATCACAATAAAAACACTCAAGGACTGGAGGGAAGTGCAATGGATTGCAGTGAGAACTGAAATAACATCCATCTTCCCCAACTGTTACCAATCCGGATTTCTTACCAGGTCATTTAAACAATGGACTGTGAGGTTTTCTTTTAGAGACCAACTGGAGAATGTGGTCCTACTGACCTTTAATCAAATAGAGCAAGAATGTAAGATAGGAACAACCTCTTGCATTACTTTCAGATAAGAGACTATGTCAATAACAAAACCGGTCCACTAAACAATGTCAAGGACTCTGACACTGAAATTTTCTACAAGGAGTAATGTTTCAGTTAGCGTGTTGTACAAAATTCAGAGGGTGTACTCTGGGACCAGGACAGCTGAGACAGACCGTTGGCAGACTTTTCTTTCACACAGCCCCTTTCAAACTTCAAGTCTGCCACTTCACTTTAATGTTGTAAGTGTAAAATAAACTGTCTTACACACATTTGAGTTCTCTGTGAATTGCAGAAAACTGAATTGAAACTGAGCTCAACCTGCTGTCTCTTCTCCTTGATCTCCCAAATATTTACATCTGTCTTTTCTGTGGCAGGAAAAAAATGTACTACTTAAGAGGATTTCTCATTAAACTCACCCAATCACCAGGCAGCACTGGATGATACTGGAACACACCCGTCATTATGTGCCTGGTCCAGTTTTAACAAGTTTAAACAAGAACTTTTGCATAAAACTTCAAGCGATGGTCAAGCTGTGATAACTGAGTTACAAGGATAGATGAATGTCAAAAAGATGTGTCTTCCCCCTGCTAAGCCTAACTATTATTGTTGTTATTAACAGATGTACGACTTAAAAAAGCAAACACACACACAAAGCCACACAGGTAAAGTACATTACCTCAAGTAAAGGAACGGGTGTGTGTTCTTGGGGAGATATGCAGCATAAACTGTCTCAATCGCTTTCTTCAAAGCGCTCGACTCCACCAGACGATCTGAGACATCGCAGAAGACAGCTTCATTTCACAGAAACACAGCAGCTAACAAGATTAAATGCTAACTGCTGCGTTTCCAGTAAGTTTCTGTGGTACGTACGGTTTATGAACAGGATCAAAATGCATTTCTTGACTGAATAGTTTGCGTTTGAGATGTAGCCTTTCATCTTATAAGCGAGCTTCTGATCTTCACAGGCAACCTCGATCAGCTCCCTGGGAACATACCACAGAGCCGGTCATGCAATCAGCTCAGAGGTGAGAAGAGGTTGCATAAAAAGCAGCGCTCATCAAAGGAGATTTGCCGGAATACCTGCTGACTGCGTTGCCAAAAATCCCTCGAATATTATCGACTACAGACGCATTGGGAAGAGTCCTTACGTCTGCCACGGTCTCTCCTTGCTGGAAAGAGGAGTCACAAAAACAGACAGCAAATAGTTTATTTGAAGAAAACTGCTTCGCGTGCTTGAGGGAGGCATTTAATTTAAATGAAAAATAAAGCACATCTTACCTTTTTGACAGAGAAGCTTTTTCCTGAGTTGTGTATGGCGTACCTGCAGAGTAAGACAATGTTAACAAGTTGAAGCAAATTCACCAAGAATCATGAGACACGAATAAAACCCACACCTGCCGACCACTTCTACAATCCTGGAGTACTCATCGCTCGGGCTCTTTAGAGCTTTTCTCCTGGTGGAGACGTTATAGAAAAGATCCTCCACCTGCAATCAACAAGAAGAGCAGCTTCTCAGCATCTATAAATTGTATTTTAGAGAGCAGCTCATCTGCAAGGAGAACTCACAAGGATCTGCGTTCCCTGGTTTCCAGCACATGGTTTGGGAGGGCCTTTTAGTTTGCCATCGCTGTAGTTGGCTCTGCAAGAGAACACAACCAATTTATGAGAGAGCTGACATCCTAGTTGTTTTGTAGCCTTTAGTAAGGCTTTAGAGCAGATAAGGAATGCAACAGTACCTGTAAGCGCACTTTGCATCAGCAGTCTTTGTGGTTATGGTCACATGGGCAACATGGCTTATACTAGCAAGGGCCTGCAGACAAGAACAAACACAATAAATGTAATGCAGAACAAATTAATACAGTGAAGGCAGACAGAGGTGCACAGCTCACCTCTCCTCTGAATCCATAGGTTGCGATACTCGAAAGGTCCTCAAAAGTTTGAAGTTTGCTCGTGGTGAACCTCTCACAAACGATTTCCATGTCCTCCTTCTGCAGTAGTGAAAAAGAGTTTCACTTGGTACACAGCATATTCTGAACAAACTACCATTACGTCACCAGCAGGGTCATTCTGAGGCAACCCTTCATACTGACCCTTAAAATTTGAAGTGATTTTTAATCAAAGCCAAACAAAGAATTTTGTTTTTCATAGCATAAATATGTCTGACGTAACATAAAACATCATTTGTAAGCTTGTTTGTAAGCTTAGGCACTCATTCAGTTTTAACTTCATGCATTCAGTTGTTATAGTCATATATCATTGTATGCTTGTTCCTCACTGTGGTGGGAAAACTAAAGCCTGTGACAAGTAATTATGAGTAAGTACTATGTAATTCTCCATCTGGTCAAAACTAAGATTTATACAATTTAACAATACATCGCCGTGGGTTGGAACATGAAAATTATGTCATTTTAATTACATTTTCTTGAAAAATCAATCCTTTTTTTAAAACTTATATTACTTCTCATTTTGTCATATTTAATGTTACCAGAAATTACTGGGGCAAATTGTTAGAAGACATGAAAAAATGGCTGTAGTTACAAGAAAACAGCTCAAGTATAAATTGTTCAAATGTGTTAACAAGTACACTTGAGTTGGTGTCTTCCGTCTTTCAGTTCAGGGAAAGACTTAGCACACTCAGTGACAGAAGAAAACCAAAATAGCTTAACCCTGACTGCGTAATGATGAAGCAGAGGCCACCCAGCTAAAAGGGCGGGTCACCCACCCTGATGCCAGTGCCGTTGTCCTGAATTTGAAGAAGTTTCAGTCCGCCGTCCTTCACCGTCACCTGAATGCTTGTGGACTTTGCATCCAAACTGGAACAATTGTAAAACACAAAAGTGTATTTACCACAGGGTCACACTGCACGCTAAGTGGAGACAGTTACAGGTCTGTTACTATGTTACACGTGATGTAAACAGTCACCCCGGCCATGTATGGCCACCTTTAATAATCCCGCTACTTGGATATTTAAGTCACTAGTCGTACAGTGACTTAAATATCCTAACGTTAGTGCTCACGTTACTGAAACTGCTCTTTATATAGCTGCTAATTTACCAGTTTTCAATCATTTCTTTAACGGCGTTGGCAGGACGCTGAATAACTTCTCCCGCAGCAATGCGGTTGACAACAGTCTCGTCGAGCCTCCGGATAACTCCCGCCATGTTTACAGAGCTGCTGACTTCTAGTTTGGTTAAAGAGCAGGCAGAATGTGCGAGTACGTAAACATATGGAATAAACGGTATTTATTTAAGCTAAAGTGCAGCATTACTGCTGTACACGAAACTGAGCACGCTTGTGACCAGAGAGGAAGCAAACAAACAGACCACTCACTCCGCCTGAAAATGTCAGAGTATGTCAGAAGTTATAATGTCGGTCCCTCAAATACCTCAATGACCGTTATAATAAACGTTTTAATCTCTTTTAAAAATAAACTATAATTGCGGAGAAAAATTTTAGACATAATTTTCAATTTATTTAGATAAAGGCACGCATCTTCCTAAACACACAATCTTCGACGACAGCGCGGGTAGAAGGCGGGGGCGGTGACTACGTCCGGCTGTAGAGCTACGTAATTCCCGAGAAGTCTTCTTCGTTGGCAAATATTTTTGAAATACTGTAGCCTAGCGACCCGTAACGGTTGTGTAATCATGCTTTTTGAGGAGTAAACAGATATTTCTGTGAAAAGCTAAAATAATTACGGTTATATAGTTCAATTACAAATATGTTTGCAGAAAATAAATGGCAATTATCTAACCACTAAAGTGTTTTACTTTCTCCCCCCCCCCCTTTTGTTTGATCTATTAGTGCTGAGACTGATACACAGATAATACTGTGGGTCTTTGCCATGCCCATTTCTGGGTTGTACAATTTTGAAGTGTTTACTTAGGCTTAAGGTAATAAATAGCTTAAGTAATTAGCCATAAATACCATTACATAATGAAGTCCTGAGAACTGCGCCCTGGTAAAGATTGGTCTACAAAAAGGTCAGGGGTCACAACCGCTTACAGAATTGCCCCCAAAAAGCCTGGCTTCACAATCACAGACCTGCTGTATAACAACATTACATTCATTTAAGGGAACCTTAGCTTCATCTTTTGCCTTCAGCAATTTTCAGCATAGGCTAAAGCTACTTGGGCTTCTCCCTTATTCCCAAGAGGTAACCACATGTGTAGCTCAGCATATTTGATTTGGCAGAGTTTTTTCTTTTCTTTTTTTAATATGTCCTTCCTGACAAAACCCCAAAGGGATGTGTGTCGCCTCTAATGATCTAAACAGGGATCTTTCGCTTGTGAGGAAATTGCGTAAACCGCCATGCTGTTGAGTGAATATATAACATAAATGGCCAAAGTAACATTAAAAAGCGATTTATTTTGATGACCTTTTTTAGAAACAGTATTGCCAAAGCATCAAAATAACATACATCCAAATATCTGAATAGTACACAGTAATCGTTAAAATAGCAAAATGTATGGTATAGTACGTACAATGCAGCTCCATAATGTAGTTGTTTATATATTCACCTATGAAGTGAAAGGTCTATGAAAGATTCCAACAGAGGCAGAAATCCACTTGGGATTGCATCAGGAAAGGGCATGCTGTGTAAAAATCTGCCAAATCAAACAAGGAGAGCTGCCTGTTTTTCACATGGGAGCAGCTGACAGTAGCATATACAATATAAACCTGTTATGGCATGTACAGAGGTAAAGACATTTGACCTCTAAATTCCAGAGCCTTGTTCTGTATGAGTACAACATTCCCACCAAATAGTTTGTATGTTAAATACTTCCACTCCACCAGAAGACTTAACCCACAGTGGCATGGTCTGCGTTGTCTAATATCAAATGTTCAGACAAGGCAAAACTAAATAATTACTAAATTACGTATTTTAAAAGGTAAAACTATTAGCGCAGTTTTCTCCCCTGTACTCTTGGCTGATTCACCTATGAGGCCCTTGCCTGTGCACATAGTTGGCCAGACCACAAACTGCCTGCATTCCTCACAAAGCTGCATGCCTTTCGGCCGGTGGGCTACGGCAGAACAGTGGCGGGAGTTCAGAATCTTCCAAAATGCAAATCTTCTCAGATATTTTATGAGGATTTATTTTTTCATGAAAACTAATCTAGGTTACATGAACCCTCTGTGATTATGACACTAGGTGCCAGAGTTATGTTGCTATGCTGCTACGTTATGTTGCTGCTACGTTTCAGCCCCAAGCAGGGTGACCTCAATCGGATAAAATGCTGTGAGAAAAGGCCTTGTGTCACCATTCAGATAGTACCCTGCACTAGAGTTTCTCAGCGCACCCACTGCAATCTGAAATAAATCCAGGCTGGATTTTAAAATTTGTAGTTTCATTTGAAAGTTAAGAATGGGTTTCCAGCAAGAATTAATGAAAATACTCCAAAATCTCAATCCTGAAAAGCAGATTGTCCTTAAACACCTGCAGGAAAGCAAACAGAATGAGGTAGCAGTGAAAAACACATACTGGGTAAGTTTCTGCCACCCTGTACCCAGGAATCTGCATTTTGTTATATCGCCTAGAGTCAAATATGGATTATGATGGAGGTCTCAAACAAAATATATTTCATCTACACTTTTTGCTGAGGTTTAAGTTGCAGTGAGAAACCATGTGAGCTCAGTTCTCACAGAGCCACGTAATATTTTCCACCTGAAATCCTGCTTGGTTTTGTAAATCCCCTCAGAATCTGAACCAGGCTATTTCCGTGTAACCGTTTTTTCATTTTTATGCAAAAGTATATGCCTATGCAAGCAGCCCCGAGAGCTAACTCGGCAGGGTTTAGAAGTTCAGCAGCTCGTTGTGCCGCCTTCTTGAGCCTTTGCCAACTCGACTTCAGTGCCATCAAACAACTAATTGCAGGCGTATGCAAACAAAGGCCACAAAAGAAAATGGAACAACCTAAGAGGTCACTGGAAGTATGAAAGGAAGTCATCTTGGCAGAAATGTGACTCTAATGTTTGTCTTACTTGTGATTTGCTTATTCTGTGCTTTCTAGGCTCTTTCTGCAGCTAAACCTTGAAGGACTGCGCTAACATCGAGCACTTTATGCCAAAGGAAAAGCTATAGCTGTGTGCTTGAGTCTGAGATGTACCGTGGGGACTTGATGTCTATTCAGTGTCCCTGACTCAGTGCAGGACATCCCAGTATGCAGTATTTCAGCAGCAGGATGTACCACAGGATGCAATACAATAGTGCTGGAAATAACGCAGGCATGTAAAAAAAAAAAGAGTAAATGTAAGCAAGATGTAAGGCATTATAGCTGCTCCATGTTTTTTTTGTTTGTTTGTTTGTTTTTTTTATCTTTTCCACTGGCAGACAGCATGTATGACATCATTGTGGAGAGCTACCCTCCCTGCAGTAAGTCTGTGTCCTGTCTCAATGTAATCTCAAGTCCTGGATGAGGTCAGAGCTGGTTGTGCATTACTCCAGTCAGTAATTGCTCCTATTTTTCTCAGAACATTTCCTTTAGTGCGACATAGTGTAAAGTGCTGATTACAGCTCTGCCACTCCTGTGGCGACCTGCCACACGTAAAGACAGGCACAAGCAAGCACGCATGTTAGTGTAGTTGCACACGGGACATGCACACACACGCAGCTTTGTAAGCCAAAGCATGTCCAAAGTGGATTCAAAAGGTAGACTTAAATAAACTTTTCTCTTGTTGCAAGCTGCAGACACACACAGAGAAAATACTCTAAAAACACAAACACTGTCAACAGGTGAAATGACAGGCAAATGAGATGCACACCTGCTGCTGAGCACCCTGGGAAATGAGCTCAGCACTGGCCCAACACGGCCTCCACGTACGCCAAACAACGTGGATCCATTTCACACCTTCAAGTCGCTCTCTAGACATTCTGCACTGACAAAAGCCTGCTGTTTTGTTACATCTGTGTGTTTATATCTACACCTTTTGTCACCAGCAAGTTGGTAATCTCTGGCTTAATGGAGATAAAAACTGGTGACAGGGGGTTGAAAGAGTACATTATTGTACTCTTGATGTGGGAATGCAATAATCTGCGGAATTTGCCATCCTCTCAACAAGTGACAAAGATAGAGGAGCTAGTCTTTGCTCAAATGACAAGGTTTGTCCAACATGGCACAGATCCAGAATCCACCCAGATAAGAGTGGCCATCTAATTTTATCATATTCAAGAATTTCATAGGCTGAATCTCATCTGGATATGGATGAATTAAGCAAAACAACGTTAACACGTTTGGAAATGTGCTCAGCCCATTGTCTGCAGACTTTCATTAACTTTCATCATCTCTTTAGGCAAGCATGATCTCACCTCTTTGAGAACCACTAAGACTTCCTGTGTCCCTCCGTGACAGTATGCGCCCAGAAATGGATTCAGCAGCTGCTGCTCTTCCTTTTCTCTTTGTTTTCTCACACTCCATTTTTTTCTCTAGTGTCAATCTTCCTCTTCCTACATTCTCTCCTTATCAGCACAATAGCCTCAGGACATGTTATAAACAACAGATGAACACATGGCTTCCTACATAGAGGTAAAAGAGAGGAACTTCAGCCAAAAACTCAATCAAATCATTTTGTGTTTAACCATTTCAGTGGTTGAATTTTAAATATAATCAACATTACGTGTCACTACTGGAGGTATCACTAAATACAGAGTAAATAAAAAATAGATGAAATGTGGATGTCTTAGTTTTGCATGTTATTCTTTTTGTCATGTATGGCAGTGCCACAATCAGGTGATTAAATGAATGTGATTAGTATAAACTAAATTTATACCACTCAAGTAAATTAAATTTGACCAGATTCAATTACACTTCATGTTTCACACTGTTCTTATGTAACAAATAATATTGAAAATTTACATGTCTTCACATTTTTTTGAGTGTGGCAATAGAATACAAGGTCAGGATATCAACAAGAGTCATTTCTGTACATGAACGTACATAAAAAAATGTAGTCGAAACCACAGATGTTTAAATATTACAGTGTGAATTGATGTCAAACAAGAATCGGAGCAAAGCACGGCCATTGTTTAGCACCTTCAGGCTGGCTTCCATCCCCACAAACTCGTCATGCTAAAATACAAAGCAAACCATTTTTACAGCCTAGTTAAAAAACAAAAACAAAACAAAGATGTCCATAGCTTATTTCCCTTTTCATGACAACTGTGAATGGAGTGAATTTGTATATAAGTCACTCTTTTTTAAATGTATTATCCTCAAAATTATGCAGGATTAAGGGTGTAGCTTATTTCAGTAACAGATAGATGCCAACAGGAAGGAATAGTTGTTAGCTGTATGCTAGGCCTCACCTCTGCTAACCCATTGTGTCTGTGGTGTTGGAGTCTTCCGGAGAATTTTTTAATACAATTATGGCAAACAATATGGCCAGTGTTAGTCAACTGTACTGGCAGACAATCAAAGAAGTATGCTCAGTTTTTTTGGTAGTGAAATTCTAGCATGATTTGTTTTATATGTTAGCACAGACACAGATCTCTGGGGGTATCTTGCTAATGAAGCTAGCTATCGTTTACAT